CTCTACTTTGTTTGCATAGGCAGAGCTCCGTTCTGTGTCTCTTCTCAACGATCTGTGGGTGCCTGTGGACACCCACTGCCTGACAGCCGCAGACCGCTTTCTGCTGTGAATAATCACACTTGAAGCAGCCGGCCAGTGGCACCCCCTAGGCAAAAGTGCAGAATCACATTTATATACATGATTGTGCACAGGAGAGCTGCCCTGTAGCAGTATATGTGCTGTAGGGCTGTCTTTAAGTGCCCTGTTGCAGGTATAATGCAGCAGTTCATCCTGCAACACAAGAGAAGCACTGAACTCATCGAAGTCTGAAGTCTTAGCACTCTACCCCTTTCTTCAAGAGCACCTGCTTTCTGTTTTCATTACAGATTAGAAGGCTGGAGGGCTGCCAATTCTCTGCTGGGAGGGAGGAGCAAAGTGAGCAGATCTGGCTCAGACAAGGACTTTAGCACTACTGCTATAAATCTGATCATGGAATACTCCTACCGCTAAAAAGGTCATGAGGACTTTTTAAAAGCTAATTTACTACTGGTAAATATTTAAATGTCTATAGCCTGGATACAGTTATACTTTAAAGGCAACTTGTACAGAGGAAAACATGCTGACCTCTTCTGAAAATGCTATTTGGCTGGTTGTTTCTGGCTTCAATACTTCTCTTGACACTGATCTGGAACAAGCATGTAACTAGTGAAGCCAGAGTAAAGTCAGAATGTCTTATCTGCATACTTGTTTAAGTTTAGTAATATAAGCTTTTGGATTAACATAACAGCCAGGCATTATCCAAATAAAGTTCAGAAATGTTATCTTACATTTTTTTCTCAGCACAGGTCCACTGTGTTATTATTTGACAAGCTTACTGTTGGAAAAAAACACGATGACTATGAAATAAATGAAAACCCTCTTAATTTTTCACTTAATTGTTTATCCACTTGCCCTCCAGAGGATTTACCCCCTTTCCTGACCAGGCCATTTTTTGCAATATGGCGCTGCATTATTTTAACTTTCGTCATGAATTTAGGCCAAAATGTATTATGCTACATGTTTTTACTAAAAAAAAAATCCCCAGTGACACCAATACAGGGATCAGCGCTAATAAAAAGCACTGACACTGTACTAATGACACTGGACAGGAAGGGGTTACCATCTGGGGTGATCAAAGGGTTAACTGTGTGCTGTTTTACTATTGTGTATGTGTGTGTTGTACTGAGTAAGCACATTACTTTGTATTGCTCTGTGCCCTGCCCAGAAATGCAAAATCACGTATATATATATATATATATATGATTTTGCACAGCCCTGTAGCAGTATTTCTGCTATAGGGCGGCGGACACACGGTTAGCTACGTAGCTTATCTTAGCTGTACATTTGCAGGCTACAAATAGTGTTTCCTGAAGGAACAAAAGGTCACATTCAATAGGGGCCAGATCTCCAAACGTATCTAATAGGCAAAGTTTGGGGCACCAGGGAACCCATTAAATCATGAAAGAATTGCACAATCTGTTTCTGGTAGGCAAAAATGACCGGGCAGTCAAATATGCCAGAACATGCTTGCAGCGGACTGACATTTCAGGCCCAGTGGAAACTGCACAGTATATTTTACTCAAAAATCAAACACTTGACTTGGGAATAAAATCAAACAAAAATATGGTCTGTATTGCCAGCACAGAATGTATGGGAATAAAACATAAAACAGGGAGGTTTTGCTAGCTTTCCCATGCTAAAAAAAGATGAGGGAAAGTGTCAGACCACCAAGGAACATACACAAAGGCAACAGGATGGTTCACAACTCAGTGGAACAGCAGGTGCAAACACATGCAAGTGTCAGTTTTAATATGTTATCCTTTGCTGTGCTGTAGTTACTCTTCCTATATATTAATTCCATGGACAAAGAGTCAGTTTGTATTACTGTAATTAAAAGTGCATTTTAGCCTGGGTTCACACTGATGCAGTGCAGAATTTGCAGCAGTTTCTATGTGAATTTCACGCCGCATCAGAATTGCACCCCGTTCATGCAAACCACTGTGTGTGTGTATGTTAAGTTAACAACACCCCAAAAATGGTCCGCAAAACGTAGTGTGATGTGCAGAATCAGAACACATAGGTGTGCATACCCATGCAATCGGATTCTAGTGCAGGCAAAAAAAAGGATCCTGCACCTTTTTAGTGTGGGTGCTGTGTGATTTGAGCCATACAAAATGTATGGCTCAAATCACACTGCACAGAATTCGCATGTGATTTGCACAGGAATGCGGTGCGGTTCCTCTGCAAATCACATGCAATATGCCGCACCGCACAAGTGTGAATCCAGGCTAAATATTGTTTCTTTTTTGTTTGTTTTGGAAACTTAAGTACACAGCATGGATTAGATCCACAAACATTGTATATCAGACATAAATATGATTTTCGATTTACACCTGTAGGCTGTGCTCTTATTTTACTGATTGAGAAGCTGCGGGTCAGTAGAATTTTGCAAACACTAATCCCCTAAACCCCCTTTGCTAAAATATACTAATATTGGATCTTCAATAGATCATTATACAATTGTAGCTCTACTCCTGTAGGAGACACAGGAATACTGTCCAGCAATACTTTCAGGCTTTTTCCTCAGCTTTGCCTCACAGCCAGACACATAAGTTCATTCACACCTTTCTTCAATAACTAGTCTAGGGGTGTTGTTTTTATTTTTGTAAAACTAGGATAGGGTTGAGGGACATAAGTGGGATACTCCAAAAATAAGAACTATTTACCCTTGAGAACTTCATCTAATCTTTAGAACAAGCTATGTTAGAGTATGTGCTTTAAACAGTGGACTTCAGCTTTATTTAGTATTAGTAGTAGCAACTCTCTTTCTTAGAGCCCCAGAGCAGTGTCCCTTTAGGAAGGAAGACAGATGAACAAAGCTCTTCAGAACACCAGTTGGTGTTCCCTTTATTAGACCCACAGATGACTTGCTAGCACCGGGTTGGGGGGAGGGGGCAGCACAAAGTCTCGTCTAAGATCCTTTTTAGGGTGTCTGTACTCACAAGGCCCAAGAACAGCAGGTTGCCTTCCTCTGTGATACCAGACCAGATTTTCCAAAGAGTCAGTCAGCTTAGCAGAATCCAGGCCTCAGCATTTAGGCCCTCAGGTCACTCATCTGAGGATACATGGCAGTAGTTTTCTGGGGTTGGACCAAAATCCTGGACAGGAAAAGACCCTGAACTCAGTGTGCATGCTGAATATATACAGTTACCCAGCATTCCATGTGAGCCAGGCTCTCTGGGATAGGCTGGGGCTGTATCAATATCCATGCTTCCATCTGCAAAGCTCCACACCTATTATCCAGAAGCTTCTTAAGCTTTCTGGATGCAGAGGGAGTTGTCAGGCTGGCAGCATTCTCTCAGTGTGGCCTATGAACCTCTTGAATTAATTCTTCATTTCTCTGCAGAGTCCCCCTCTCCTCATACACAGGGAATGATGGGATCTTTACTCTGCACAATTTTCTCACAGCCTGTCCACACACGACTATTTAATACACATACATTCACTTTGTTAGGTATACCTGTTCAATTGCTTGGTAACACAATTTGCTAATTAGCCAATCACATGACAGCAACTCAATGCATTTAGGCATCCAGAAGTGGTGAAGACGACTTGTTGAAGTTCACACCAAGCATCAGAATGGGGAAGAAAGGGGATTTAAGTTTAAGTGACTTTGAATGTGACATGGGTATTGGTGCCAGACGGGCTAGTCTGAGTATTTCAAAAACTACTGATCTACTGGGATTTTCCTGCACAACTATCTCTAGGGTTTACAGACCATGATCCGAAAAAGAGAAATATCCAGTGAGCGGCAGTTGTGTGGGACGAAAATTTGGTTAATATATATTTTGTCATTATTATTGGTGCTGGTGGCATCTTATGGCACTTATTTTTGAAAATAAAAGACATTTATCAGTTTCATATTTTGTTGATTTAATATTTTCTACTGTTATACTTATTTAATTTTTTTTGGAGGGGGGGCGCAAGTAGCTGGTCTTGCCTAGGGCGCAAAATAGTCTAGCACCAGCCCTGCTTGTAAGCTGTTACCTAGCACCAGGCCAACAAAAAGAGAAAGGGGAGGTGGTCTCATGTTGCCTGAACTATAAAGAGCCTTGTTACTCCTCTCTACACTGTCTGTGATTCCCTCACCCCAACAGTTTTCTGTCCGAATTTAGCCACAAAAGCTCAGGAGGCTAAAAAAGGAAACAAAAAAAAAGGTTTTGAAAATTTGTATAGTTCAAGGCTTGGTGCTTCTTCTAACCCCACTGCCCTAGGCACTGGAATATGAGTACCATTATAGTAAATACAGACCTGGTAATTATCCAGATGTATCTAGGGCAGCATGATGTCTAAATACAGCTCTGAACAGTCCTCCATTAGGTCACTTGTCCAGGATGACTTTTAGCTCTGTGTGTTATTTGGCAGAGGTCATGTGCAGTGTGGGCCAGACCAAACCACCAGATCAACCTGACCAGTTAGCCTTATTAAGATATACATGTTGCTAGGAGGGACCTAAGGATGGCTGTGTCTCTTACCTTCCCAGTCATTTTCAAAGTATATTTAGAAAAAGAACTTTACTAGGACAACAAAAGTTATCAGTCAAGTCAGTGCAGTTAGTAACAGACTCAGGTATAAACCTCACGCAACATGAAGCACTTTTGGCAACATACAAAGCTGGAAGAAGAGGTAAAGAACTGTGTAAAGAGGTATATCGGTATATCTGTTATAGTTAGCAATCATTTATGAGTTGAACCAATAATCAGCCTCTCATGAAGCGTATAATATCAGGGTATTTGTTTCTCAGTATCATACTGTATGTAATAAAAGATAATGGATAAGGCCAAAAAAGTGTTTAATTTGTTATTTAAAATGGGTGTTACGTTTCTGACCTGAAACACTTCCTCTTCCAGGATACGAGTCCCAAATACAGCAATGCCATTGGTATGCACCACAGGATTTTCACTTCTTGGTAAGGGTTTAGATATCTTTTTTTTGCAGTCCACAATCATTGTGATCGTCTTCTTTTCCACGCTGATTGCAATCCGGTGCCACCTACAAAAGCAAATACAGGTCTGTAACTGACCACGTAATGGGTAGCACAAATCAAACAAACGTTGTAATCAGGGGCGGACTGACCATTTGGAAACTCGGGCACTGCCCGAGGGCCCGAGGTCAGTAGGGGGTCCCATGAGATGCCCCTGGTACCTTTTCATAGGCTTTTTTGAGTTTGGGCAAGGACACAGGGGCCCCATGATCCCCTATTGCCCGGGGGCCCCATGAGTTGTCAGTCCGCCCCTCGTTGTAATATAAATTTGCCTTAATTAATAAAGTAGTGATGGTCTGAGAAGACGTCAGCGCGCACACGGAAACCAGAAGTTGACCGGCAGCCATCTTGGATGAGGGAAACGATCATCTGATTTCCCCTGGGCACTTCCTGGATAACAGTAAACTACTTCTGAGTACTTTTAAGCGTTTTTTAAGCTGATAAAATGTGAGCATCCTAATTAAAGTTGATTATAAGATTGATTCTGGCGGTATTACACTATTGTGTTTCCTATATATTCATATTTATATGATACATGCCTGATGTGGATATATGGAGTCTCAAGGCTGTTGGATCCTGATGCTAATATGAAGGCAGACTATATTGGGTAAAGATCAATAGGAGGACTGTCTCCCACCTTCCTTTTGGAAAAATATAAAAAAGCGTCTATCTTTCTGAATATTGGTAAGGGTATGCATTCCTTACTGCACTTAGAAGTGTCACAGTGCTGGTTGGAATAGAGCACTGAAGAGTGATTCACATTCACAAGGGTTTTTATTGTTTTTGGCTTCACAGTTTTTTTCACTTTTTTCACGGATTATTTATGTGATTGGGTATTCACTTGTATGAAGTCACTATTATTTATTTAGTTATAAAAAAAGATAATGCACTATGTGAATATTTTTTCTTTTTGAGGTACATTATCGGAGGAATTTTTTGAAAGGTTCTTTGAACACGAGAAGAATTTGATTTAAAGATTGGACTTATAGGGTTTGGACTGCACATAGTTTTTGTGGACTTATGGTATAGCATTTTCTGTTTGTTGTAATATAAATTTGCCTTAATTAATAAAGTAGTGATGGTCTGAGAAGATACCTCCCACCCTCTTAATGGGCCTAGCTGGCTTTACAACATCTAAGTTTAAAGTCAGACACATTAAAGGCATTTAGCAGTGTCATTTGCTGATACAAATGAAATAAGAACCTAAGGAGAACAAAACTTTTGGGGGTGACATGAAACTTCTGCTTGGTATGAATCTGAGTAAGTCTATCAAGCTTAACACTGGAGAGTGTGGTCAGGATTTTGCTTGGCTTTACTAAACAAATATTTTTGTGGGTGATTAAACTGCAGTGCAGTCTACCAAGAGAAAATGTTGCATCTTGTTCTTTAACATGTAGTATGTATTGATGGAGAAGGCAGGAATTAGATCCCCTGTCAATTTTTTGTTGCTTTCTTTATCCCTGCTGGGAAGATTTACCTTCTTTATTACTGATATCCTGGTGGCCATTGCCACCAAAATAGAAAGTGAAGAGAAATTCAAAATGTTACAGTTGTCACCAGCACAGGCAGGTGTAAATGTTTCAGTGGGGACACCTGTTCCAGTGACTGCTGTCTAAGAAGGGTATTACCCTCACTTTATTGCAATTCCTTCTCATGTACTTTTGGGTCTCTGGGAATGAAAGGAATTATACCACACAGGACACAACAAGAATAAAAATTAAACTAATGGGTTTCAACCCTTCCCAATAAGAGGTCATTCTGATGAGGCAATTTTTTTGCAATGACAACAGCCATCTCGTACACAAATAAATAATGAGTACTGGTAATTACACAAAAGTATAGCCTAATGCTATAGTTTCTTGTTTTCAAATGACTACCTATATACTGCATATAGTAACCTATCTGGAATTTCTTTTAAAGTATATCTACAACCAAAGCTTTTTAGCTTTGGAGTAAGTCCTGTATGGTTAAAACACCACTCAAGCTTTTTTACTGTTGTTGTCTGTGTCACATTGAGTGTTGAGGTGATATCCTTTAATTTGTTTACCTGTAGACACAACAGTAAATGAAAGGAAATCTCTACAGAGAGAAAATTCCTCTTAGACAATTGTCACCAGAAGAACTGGCACCATTGGAAATTTTCCATCACCATCTTTTCGGGGACATCTCAATGTTAGATTTTCCATTACTTTCATTCCCAGGGACCCAGACAGCAATAAAAAGCCAAGTCAATAACAACAAGATCGTATTGCTGCAACAATCTGCAAACTCTAGCTACTGAATGCAAATAATAGGATGAGACGTTTTGGGCACTTTCAATATTTAAAATACCCAGAGAGGGACATAGAAAAATTGTTTTATTTTCAAAAAGATTTTTAAGATAAGAAAACGCTCCTGCAAACTATATATTAAAGTAGAGCTTGTAGAACTTTTCCAAACTCTGCTATAATTCAGACACGAAATGACGTAAGAAAGTAAAGCCTAATTTAAAAAAATACAGGTTTTATATTAGAACTGAGAAAATCATACACCCAACCTTATATATCACATCATGCTGAAAAGCTCAATAGCTGAAAAGTTCAGCTCAGTCAGAAGTAAAGAAGGAAAACTTTTTTATGCATTATGTATGCCAGAAGACATATGAAGACATACCATTTGAGCATACTGTGAAGCTGCCCTCTGGGTCTTAGCTGTCCATCAATACTATACTAAATGTGGGTGAAATGGGTGGGTATTTAGCTGTCAATTGATACAAAGTACACAAGTTTTACTTCGCTGGAAGGTAAATGGGGGTGGGTGGTGCTAAATATAGGTTATTCTGTCTCCCACTGATGGGTGCTGAGGTTTTAAGGCCAGCAACATATGAACTATTCTCTGTGAGCCCAGGTTTTCATGGATACATACAAGTCTCTACATCTGCCTGGGCTTGTAGCACAATACTGCAGAGAGAAGCACTGACATCATATATACATTCCTTTCAGGAATATATAAACTGGGGTCAAAATATAAATATTGTTATTCTGGTCCTGATTTACAATATGTTTTTATTAGATTGTGTTTAGCTTGGGTATTGCTGTACAAAACTTATGAGGTTATTGTGAGTCAAAGTTAACTTAAAAAAAAAACTTTTGGGACTCAAAAACTTTTGGGAAGGAATTTTTTTACCCTCCTGCTTACAAGATCCTTTAGAATGTACACTTTAGTGCAGTTTAGTGTACATTCTCATCATGCCTAGGTGCCAGGATGAATAAACATGTGGCAGTTGTGTCAATCTGGGCTGACCAATCAAGATGGCCAAGGATTCTGCACCTGGAAGGAGACCCAGGGAAGATGTCTGCTCTGGCAGGGAAATTCCTGGATGTTGTACTGCTGAAGGAAAGGTAAGTATTGAGGAGTTTAAAAAAGTTATGCACTAAGGTGGATAATAGGTAGTTATCAGTTTGTGGCTTAAATGGCAAAACACGGCAGCTCATATCATCAAATGAACCAGATGAAAAGATGAAGTACAAATGTAAAAGTAGCGCCAAGAATTAAAATCCACAATAAAACAAATTTCTCCACTTGTGAAGTAAATGGAGGTAAAATGCATATGTCACATTTATTCAAATCAAGCAAGTATTAAAAACACTTGGTTGAACAAAAGCCTGGATTGCCTTAATGACTCATTGCCCTAGTAGTGTCCAGCTGAAAAAATGGAGGTTGCCAGCAGTGACAGCAGTGTCCAGCTGGACACGAAGCAGCTGGGCTGTTGGGCCGGATATGACGTCATGATCCTGCCATGATGCTGGGCCAGAGATCCGGAATGTGTGCAGATTAGGGCTGGAAGTCAGGTTGAAACCAATGCACAAGCAAGGAATAAAGCAGTCGGTTACTAAGACAACAACATGAAGGGACTTCCTTTCTTCAGGTGACCCTGTCCAGCGGCCAAGTCTTAGGAGGACCCAGGAAGATTACTTCCCCTTCTGCTCACACTAGCCCCTCCATCGCTTCCTGCCAGCTTACTGACACACTTCCGATGCGACAGTAACATCCTCCCCTGTGATCCAGTGTCCCAACATGCCAGATTTCATCACTGCTGGCAACCTCCATCTTTTCAGCTGGACACGACTAGGGCGATGAATCATCAATGCAATCCAGTCTTTGTTCAACCTCATTAAAGGTTTGTGACCTTACGCACCAGTGTTTTTAATACTTGCTTGATTTGAATAAACGTGACATATACATTTTACCTCCATTTACTCTTCTGGTGGACAAATTAGTTTTATTGTGGATTCTAATTCTTGGCACTCCTTATACATTTCTATTGAGGAGTTTAAGTCCACTTTAAATTCTAGCTGGGTTTCATATAGATATACATTTTAAGGGGTTGGAACAATTTTAAATAAAATGATATATAAATGGGACCCTAGGAATTAAAATACAATGATAAAAAATAGTCATGTTGTAACTTGGATATTACAGGGCAATAGAGAAATAGAAATGTAAAAATGTGCATTTTATGGTTTTTGTTATTGAATAAATCTGTGTTGGCATTTCACTACTGGAAGCCTGTTTTCAACTTTTTGAGTATATAAAGGGTGATCCATAACTATGTCCCACTTTTTATTTGCTTAATACAGTGTTTCTCAACTCCAGTCCTCATGGACCCCTAACAGGTCATGTTTTCAGGATTTCCATTATTTTGCACAGGTGATTTGATCAGCTTCACTGCCTTAGTAATTACCACAGCTGTTTCATCTGAGGGAAATCCTGAAAACATGACCTGTTGGGGGTCCATGAGGACTGGAGTTGAGAAACACTGGCTTAATACAAGGTCAGTTTCATTAAGTGAGAGAATATAAAAGGTATAAGAAGGTGGTCCACTCATGGGCTTTTGCTATTATTCAACATATGCACCAACATTAGCAACACTTTTCTCCAGGCGCTGCTAAATGTTCCACATGGTCCTTCACAGCATTTCACTTGGCACTTTCCCACACTCCTCAGTCTTTGGCCCCGCAGTGCCCTTCTGCTGATTCACTTAACAAACACATTAACAATCAAGTTGTTGTGTAGCCTCTTTATGGCTTTGTAATCCAACATTTCATGTTTACCTATCACTGTCCTCTAGATGCAATGTATGAATAGAATGATATTTAAAATGCCTTGAAAGTTTTACTACTGGTGGATATACATATCCTGGACCTCCATTTGGCTAGATTTGAGTGCATTTTGACCTTTCTTTTTGTAGGTGTCAAAAATATACAATGAACTGCTTTTCAAAATTTGGTGACCTTGTATGGTTTGTTTATTGCATCTATTTTGCAGTGAATCAGGACTTTTCAGCTTTGGATTTATATGGACCTGCTTTTACATTTTGCACTTTTGATGATATATGAACATTTCTGTTTAATAACGCTGTTTATTTCATATTAACTTTAATATTATAGCACTTCCATTTATGGATCTCTATGTAATGCTATTCTTTTAGAGTGGCAGCTTTACGCATGTATTTTATTTCTGTGTAAGGGTACAATGTACACTTGGCATTTTATAGATTTACTATGATCTACAGGCATTTCCTTTCAGTTGACATAGTTCAAAAGGATTACTTACTTTCCGTCTGCAACATTGACAGTGCTAAAAATGGGGTAGTTTTCTGGTGAGGGTAGTCGATTCTGATCTTCATAAAGGAAGACAGGAGACCTGCCAACCTCTATTCCTAGCTGCTGTGTTCCATCCGCATTGTATATTGACAGGATAAATGACTGCAGGCCTTTCTTGGGCTTTACTGTCAGAAGGATTGAGAAATCCTTTGGAAATACCCCCCCTGAAACAGAACATTTTAATGTTAGCAGACAGCAGTACAAATACTTGTTCTACGGTAATATCTTTCTTAAAAGCAATGAAACATGAACAAAGAACAGACAAGCAAATATATATAATGCATGAGATTTACCCTTTGCAGAATATCAAAGTGCCCTAAACTAATGGTATACAGTTTACAATGTAAGATATCTGTTAGATTTGACGATATATGTGTATATCAAAGCTAACACAGACAAAAAAAAATCTTTTTCTTGGTGACTTGCTTTTTAGACCCGTTCTTCTGGTTATTTGGGGTGCTGATTGAGAAAATTGTATTATTGGCTAGACTGCATCATCTTTAGTTTCTTAGATATGGTCAAATTTATACAATTTTTAGTCAGTTTTTGAAAAGATCTTGCTTATTAACTTGCTTTTATGTTACCTACTTTGTGTTTTTGTGTACAAGTTAACAGATATGGTGAGTATTTACATACTTCAACTGTAATTTTACATTGGAAACTTTGGATTCTAAAGTGTAAGTTATTAACTACAGTGGGGATCAAAAGTTTTAGCACCCCGGGTAAAAATTTGTATTAATGTGCATAAAGAAGCCAAGGAAAGATGGAAATATCTCCAAAAGGCATCAAATTACAGATTAGACATTCTTATAATATGTCAACAAAAGTTAGATTTTATTTCCATCATTTACACTTTCAAAATAACAGAAAACAAAAAATGGCGTCTGCAAAAGTTTGGGCACCCTGCAGAATTTATAGCATGCACTGCCCCCTTTGGCAAGTATCACAGCTTGTAAACACTTTTTGTAGCCAGCCAAGAGTCTTTCAATTCTTGTTTGAGGTATCTTTGCCCATGCCTTTTGGATATTTTTTCCATCTTTCCTTGGCTTCTTTATGCACATTAATACAAATTTTTACCTGGGGTGCCCAAACTTTCGATCCCCACTGTATATTATAGTTCTGATCATATAGGAGGTGTGTGTATACTGCCACTTATATTGTTTCATTTTTGTAGACCAAGCACCGTAGAGGCTATGGCTACTTTTTATGTGTGCCTTTCATGCTACAAGGAGATTGAATAAAACACTACATTAAAATATCCTGATTTTTGATGGGTGACCAGAGTGAAGAGTGGTATTTGGCATTTATGCTGTATCTCAAAAACTAGAGCTGATAGGGAAAAATGGTGTCATTTTTTAAATCAGCAGAACAGGAACAGGTCTAGCATTTGAGGCAGCAAAATGTGTGTTGGTCTGTGGAATCTATCATCAAACTGCATACCTAACTGAATAGTCTTTAAGTGGTACTAAACCCAAAACCAAAAATATAATATATTGCAGCGTACCAATCATTAGATATGGTGGCTGCATCACTTTTCTTTTCTTTAGCTTTTTTCCCTCTGATTTCACCTGGTGAACTTGCCAACTCTTGTATCAGAGTGCCCCTACTCTGAATAAAGGAGCACAGGGGGCAAAGAGAAGCTCATAAATACACTAAAAAATGGGGTCTTCTGGCAAATACCAGAATTACCAAATTGCCAGTACAGGGCAACTGGAAAATTAAGTGAAACTCTGATTTAACCATTTTCCCGCTACCCTATAGCAAAAAATACTGTTACAGGGTGGCAGGGCTGTGCAAAATCATGTATATATATATATATGTGATTTTGCATTTCCAGATAGAGGGCACATGCACGCCACGTGATCCCTACCTGCGTCACCACCTTGGCGGCCTCAGCTGTCGATCACTGGGTCCCGGTTGGTGGTTCCCCGCTACCACTCAGAAATCACAGAGTATCACTGACAGGGGAGAGACAAAGCACTGTGCTGCTGTGCTGAGACAATGAAGCACACTGTAAAACAGCACACAGCACAGTTAACTCTTTGATTTCCCCAGATGTTAACCCCTTTCTGCCCAGTGCCATTAGTACAGTGTCAGTGCTTTTTATTAGCACTGATCACTGTATTAGTGTCACTGGGGATGTCATGGACAGTTAGTCAGTTCCCCATCAGTGTCAGAATTCCCACCGCCAATACTATATATACTATAAGAAGAAAAAAAATTCCAGTATACATATCGCCATTTATAGACGCTATAACTTTCATGTAAACCAATTAATTTACATGTATTGGGATTTTTTGTAGTAAAGACATGTAGCAGAATACATTTTGGCCTAAATTTATGGCGAAATTTGATTTTTAAATTTTTTTTACTGGACATGTTTAATAGCAAAAAGTTTCATAATGTTGTTTTTTTCTCAAAATTGTCGGTCTTTTTTTGCTTATAGCATAAAAAAATAAAAACCGCACAGGTGATCTTATACCACAGAAAGAAAGCTCCATTTGTGGGAAAAAAAGGACATACATTTCAAGTGGCAAGTGGTTAAAACATAATCTCAAGCATATTTAACCACCAAATAGGTTCTATCTGGAGTTTATTATCTGCTATGTTTCACCGGCCCTCCAAGTCAACATTTGGCTGTTTTGTTTTAAATCTAGAAGGCTTGAAGCCATACAGCTGGTTGTGGTGGGGTTGATTCAATTAAGAAGGACACATGGCCCACAAGTAGTGTTAGTGAGCAGCATAAATGTTCACACATATCATACATATTGTAAATATATAGAGTCATCTTAAAGAGGAACTAAAACCTCCTATCCCTTACAACCAAGGAACTGATATCTTAGTCTTTGATTGATCTACAGTTGATATAGTGTTGTACATGCAATCAGTTATGACACCAGGCATTCTGGTGGCTGGACAGATCAGTTGAGAGCACAAACAACTGTGGCATTTATTATTAGGAGATACCTTGAATGTAATTATTTTGGGAAACCAAAACTATTTTTGTGCTAGATAGAGAGGGGGAATGGTTAAAATCTCAGGTGTGCATGTATGGTTGTGGCTGGGGAAATTCACTCTCAATTTCTGTCTTGGTAACAATGGTGTAACCAGAGCAGGAAGTGAGGGAAATCTTCCCTTGTTGCAGATTTTCCTTCACTTCCCTATCTGATAAAAACTTCACCGAGATAGAAAGTGAGGATTAGCATCCCCAACAAAGCCTCATATAGCAATATAAATCCGTCAGAGATTCTAACCCTTTCCCCTCTATCCAAAGTTATGCTGTAAAGAAAATCTCCAGACAAAGACTTATAGCATGATTGTTCACATATGTATTCCTTTAAAGAAAACATGACATGAGAGAAACATGTAGATTGCCCCCGCTAAACGCCTCCTGAAATACTTGTTGCCTGGCTGTAAATGCAGATCCATACTTTCGGAGCCATTTACATGTACATGTACAGTATGTAGAGCAAGAGCTCACACTTCCCTCTATATATTCACCATGCTTTAAAGGTCAGTGAAAAAATCTGAAATGCCAGATACCTAACATTTGTAGAAGGATATCAGTAACAGCAATCTATGCAATTTTCTATTTATATGCTATAATAGCCCTTTTTATTTCAACAGGAGGGATTTTTGTTTTGAAATTTGCCTTTAAACCAAGCATAAAGTTTAAATCCTGCTTATAGTGAGTGTCTTCTCAATAGATGTACTCGGAGGGGGGGGGGGGGGTGCTTAGGAAGGTGCTTAGGAAGGTGAGCAGAAAGAGAATGCATGATGGGAATCTGTGTTGTGGTGACAGCGACTAACAGTCCTAAAGCTGATGGGACAAGGCCCAATTTTCAGAACTGCAAGTCATGACAGCCTTCTCACCTGTCTTATACTATGCAGCCATAAAGCACATCAGAGATGGGTGAATTACAGGAAAATGTTTATTGTGCTTTAGAATTCTTTTGGTAAATAGCACATTATATAATTGGTCAAAATTATGGAAGAACGTTATTCATAAAAGAGTAACAATTACAATTAAATTCATGTACAATTTCCAACATGTTAAACTAAACTCTGGACCCTATAGCTGACATGTTGGATAGCAGTTTATTAGTTTAGTTTATTTCCAGGGTTCCCCAAAACACTCAACATGGGGGTGCTCTGTTATGTAAATTCCCTATATGGCATAGAAGTCTGAGATCTGGGCCACCCTCTCTGTCCTCTACACCTATCTGTAACTCACATACAGTACATGATCAATCGTATCACTGGTCAGCACAATGGTTTAGTGTTCTGAACGTTTGCCTTGCAGCACTGGGGTCCTGTGTATGAATCCTGACCTGCACACTATCTGCATTGAGTTTGCATGTTCTCTCTGTACGTCCACAGGTTTTCTCATCTTCCAAAGACATGCTAGTAGAATAAATGTTTTGATTGTGTGGGTGTGTGCATGTGTGTGTGTGTGTTTGTATCTTTCATAGGGACCTTACACTGTAAGCTCCCTGAGGGCAGGGACTAATGTAAATGTACAGTATGTAAAGCAATGTGGAAAATTGTTGGTGCTATATATAATAGGATACCACAGTTTTGAAGCTTCTGGGAAGCTCTGTGAATAAACTTAAGCAGAGTTCTGGCACCTAGGGGTACCTGCTATGGTTAGGGAATTTACTGGGCAGTTAATTATCTGTATCCTGGTCACAAGCCAAATAGAATGACAATAATAAAACTGGAACTTGTGTGGCTGCTGAGTATCTGTGAATTACTTGTTTGCCATGTTGATGGTATTCTGCGTATACTTTATGTATTGAGAAAATTAAGCACAATTTGTAGTGTCCTCATTATTTAGTAGGTAAATAAGCTAGCTTCTGTACAAATACACAGCAAATTTTCAATAAAGTCTGTAAATTAAAAACACACAGGGTGAACTTTAATAAATGAAAAGTCAAAATCAATTAGGTAAAATATGCAAATGCAGGAAATTGTCTGACAGAATGGCAAATGTCACATAAACAAATGCGTGTGGTCTAGAAAAATGACAGAGCTTCCATGCTTTGGTATTTGTGTCCTATATTATATATCACAGAGAATCTAGTATATCACATATACTGGAATTGTGAAATATGTTTCAATAATCCTATACCATTCTCCTATTGTTGGGATTTTCAATTATTAC